TTTTTTAGGCAGATTTTTGCTCTTGTCGCTCAGGCTGGAGTACAATGGTGCGATCTCAGCTTACCGCAACCCCCACCTCCCAGGTTCAAGCGATTCTCTTGCCTCAGCCTCTTGAATGGCTGGGATTACAAGCATGTACCACCATACCTGGCTAATTTTGCATTTTTAGTAGAGATGGGTCTTCACTGTGTTGGTCAGGCTGGTCTCAAACTCCTGACCTCAGGTGATCTGCCTGCCTTGGCCTCCCAAATTGCTGGGATTACAGGCATGAGACACTGTGCCCGGTTTCCCACTTTTTGTTGAGTGTGTATCTTTGCCCACCATATGGAGTATTTCCTCAGGGTTTGCTCCTAGCAGTGGAGTTGCTGGGTTAGTTACAGAGTGTGCCTTTGGTTTTAAGGCTATCCCTATACCTGATGTGTTTCACACCAGCCACACTCCCAGCCGGGCTGGTCAGCCCTGGGGAGCTGACGTGACAGTGTCTCACTGGCAAGCAGCCCATCTTCCTTTTCTTTTCTTTTTTTTTTCTTTTGAGATGGAGTTTTGCTCTTATCACCCAGGCTAGAGTACAGTGGTGCGATCTCAGCTCACCACAACCTCTGCCTCCTGGGTTCAAGCGATTCTCCTGCCTCAGCCTCCCTGGTAGCTGGGATTATAGGCATGCACCACCACACCTGGCTAATTTTTTAGTTTTAGTAGAGACAGGGTTTCTCCATGTTAGTCAAGCTGGTCTCGACTCCCAACCTCAGGTGATCTGCCTACCTCGACCTCCCAAAGTGCTGGGATTACAGGCATGAGCCACTGCGCCCAGCCAAGCAGCCCATCTTTCATGAGCACCTAGTGTGGGTGCCTGCATAGATACCGAGGGAGACCTGAAACAAAAATTAAGACCAATCTCTGCTGTTAAGGTTAATTTAATTGTCTTGTACCCTGGGCAAAACCAGCAAACAGGAAACCATCAGAGGGGCCAATGGGACAGGGCTGGAGCATTAGGGCAGCCTGTCAGGGAGGATGGAAGGAGCCCTCTTGGGCCTTGGGGAAGAGGCAAACATCTGTACTGGTGAGGAGGGTGGGAAGTCTCGTGCTTTCTCCCTAGTAAAGGAGCTTGACAATTTCTGTATACTGGCAGCAGCACCCCTGACAAAGGCTACACAGTCGCTCTAGCCAGCCAGCCTGTGAGTGGCCAGGCAGAAGGGTAGAGTGGCCCATCTCCTCAGTGCCCCAGAGAGGACTGGCAATGGTCCAGTGGTGGGGTCCATTGTTTGGAAAGCCAGGCAGCCATTAACGCTGCCACCCTCTCCCCTCCCACCTCAGCCCATTCACCCAGCTTCATCCCTGGTGGGTCCCTGGGATCCCACCTGTAGTCATATCATCATCTCAACCCAAGGAAGGCAAGTCATTAAAGTATGGATGAATGGCACTATTGGATTATCCTTTTTTTTTTTTTTTTTTTGAGATGGAGTTTTGCTCTGTTTTCAGGCTGGAGTGCAGTGACACAATCTCGGCTCACTACAACCTCCGCCTCCTGAGTTCAAGCGATTCTCCTGCCTCAGTCTCCTGAGTAGCTGGGATTATAGGCATGCACCACCACACCCGGCTAATTTTTGTAATTTTAGTAGAGAGGGAGTTTTGCCATGTAGGCTAGGCTGATCTCAAACTCCTGACCTCAGGTGATCTGCCTGACTTGGCCTCCCAAAGTGCTGGGATTACAGGCGTGAGCCACCGCGCCCAGCCTATTGGATTATTCTGATTTGAGCGGAGGGCTACAACTGACTGTCCTGGCTTGAACATTGGTCCTGCTGAGACTGGCATCCAGGAATAATCCTTAAAACAATTGTCTTCCTTATTCTTGAATTGCCATCGGGGGCCGTGCTTTCCACCACGTCTCATTTCCCTGGTCTGGGGCTGGCTGGCCAAGCTCAGGGAGTCGAAGTCTGAGTGCTTGAGCTCTGGGCAGGCAGGTCAGCCTCTCTGAGGACCTCAGCTCAACAGCCACTGCCCAGATGAGTGTCCTTGGCCATAAAAAATGTCTTTCCAGGCTGGTGTGGTGCCTCATGCCTGTAATCCCAGCACTTTGGGAGGCTGAGGTGGGAGGATCATCTGAGGTCAGGAGTTCGAGAGCAGCCAGGCCAACAAAGTGAAACCCCATCTACTAAAAATACAAAAATTAGCTAGGTATGGTGGCGTGTGCCTGTAGCCCCAGCTACCAGGGAGGCTGAGGCAGGAGAATCACTTGAACCTGGGAGGCAGAGGCTGCAGTGAGCCGAGATTGCACCACTGCCCTCCAGCCTGGCGACAGAGTGAGACTGCGTATATATATAAAAATCTCTCCACTGCCAAGGAAACAGCCCAGAGCTGGGGTCCTGGCAATGGTGGCTCAAAACTGATGCTGTTAATGAAAGATTTTGAGGTGTGACTCTGTTATAAAGGGCAGGCTCTGAGACTCCTCAGATATTTGGGGAGCTTTGAGTCTCAGGGGGATAAGTTCAAGAATTAGCCTTCTCTTTGCTCATAGAGTTGTCCCTGTCCCCACAGGATGTTGTTCTCTACTGCCTCCAGAAAGACAGTGAGGACGTGAATCACCGTGACAATGCTGGCTACACAGCCCTGCATGAGGCTTGTTCTCGGGGCTGGACCGACATCCTGAACATCCTGCTGGAGCATGGGGCCAACGTGAACTGCAGCGCGCAGGACGGCACGAGGCAAGAGGGCTGCATCTCCCCCAGTTCGCGTCCTCACTCCCATCTCAGCCCCTCACTCGAAAGACCATGCTCACTGGCTGGGTGTGGTGGCTCACGCCTGTAATCTCAGCACTTTGGGAGGCTGAGGTGGGCAGTGGATCATGAGGTCAGGGGTTTGAGACCAGCCTCACCAACATAGTGAAACCCTGTCTTTACTAAAAATACAAAAATTACCTGGGCATGGTGGCATGCACCTGTAATCCCAGCTACTCAGGAGGCTGAGGTGGGAGAATCACTTGAACCTGGGAGGCGGAGGTTGCAGTGAGCAGAGACCACATCACTGCACTCTAGCCTGGGTGACAGAGTGAGACTCCATCTCAAAAAAGACCTTGTAACAACCTGAACCTTCACAGCATACCAGACTACGGGTTGCAGAGAGGCCTTGACAGGAGGAGTTTTGGAAAGATTTCTTCGTTTTTTTGAGATGGAGTTTCGCTCTTGTTGCCCAGATTGGAGTGCGATGGAGTGATCTCAGCTCACTGCAACCTCCACCTCCCAGGTTCTAGCAATTCTCCTGCTTCAGCCTCCCTAGTAGCTGGGATTACAGGCACCCGCCACCACGACCAGCTAGTTTTTTTGGGTTTCACTATGTTGCCTAGGCTGGTCTCGAACCCCTGACCTCAGGCGATTTACCCGCCTTAGCCTCCTAAAGTGATGGGATTACAGGCATGAGTCACTGCTTGGAAAGATATCTACAGGCTCGAGAGGGAACCAGTTTAGGGCAGGGGCCAATGAGCTAGTTCCCAGATGGCCAGGCCACATTGGTTACTAGTGGGATGCTGCAGTTGTCTAGGGGGACCTATCTCAGACAGAATAGGAACTGGGAGGCTGACCTGAGGGTAATATTCCAGGTTTGATTTTTGAAATTTGATCTCTAGACACTGTAAGACCTGCTATGTCTTAGAGAAATTGTACCCATTCTCCTCTGTTCTACCAGAGAGCCTACTTGCCTGCTTCCTGGGCAAATTAGAGACAGGAGCTGCAGATCCAGGAGGGTGCTCCGCTTGGGTTCTGCCTGGCGTGTGGAACCCTTCTGCGCATCTCTGCTCTCAGGGAGTCACCCAGGGCCTTCAGTTCATATCACTCTGCAGCTACTCTTTTTTTTTATTTTTTAGATGGAGCCTTGCTCTGTCACACAGGCTGGTGTGCAGTGGCAGTGGTACAATCTTGGCTCACTGCAACCTCTGCCTCCTGGGTTCAAGCAGTTCTGCCTCAGCCTCCTGAGTAGATGAGACTACAGGTGCCTGCTGTGACGCCCAGATAATTTTTGTATTTTTAGTAGAGACGGGGTTTCACCATGTTAGCTAGGCTGGTCTCAAACTCCTGACCTCGAGTGATCCACCCACGTCGGCCTCCCAAAGTGCTGGGATTACAGGCATGAGCCACCGCACCCAGCTTCCGTGCAGCTGCCTTGCCTTTATCCTAGGTCAGGACCCATTCTCTAGTGAACTCCACAACCACCGGTAGAGCTACATTGTGCCATGGGGACTGTCCCAACATGTGGGGGAAACGTAAGAGAGAGAGAGAGTAATGGGAGGGAGGAAGAAGGGGCATGGAGAGAGGAGGAGTTGGAGAGATGGTAGTGGAGAGTTGCAAGGCTACAGGTGGTTCCCCTGTCCTAAGTCTTAACCCATATTACCCCAAGGTTACCTCAGGGTCAGCTCAGATTTTTTCCCTAATGCAGGAGCCTGAACTCTAGACACCCCAGTTCCCACTTGGGCCTTGTTATCCTCACCCTGTATCACCTCCACAGGCCAGTTCATGACGCGGTGGTCAACGACAACCTGGAGACCATCTGGCTCCTGCTGTCCTATGGGGCTGATCCCACACTGGCTACCTACTCAGGTCAGACAGCCATGAAGCTGGCCAGCAGCGACACCATGAAGCGCTTTCTCAGCGGTAAGCGTGGTACTATTGACGCTGTTGTCGTTGGGGCTAGCCTCTGATTCCTGAACTTGTGAGGGTGTCCTCTTCATCTCCTTCCACCCCGAACAGCTTCCAAGAGGGACATCTGCCCTCTTCACATGCTTTCCTTCAAAGATCTCAAGAATTGGCTGGTTGCAGTGGCTCACACCTGTAATAACCAGGACTTTGGGAGGCCCAGGTGGGTGGATCACAAGGTCGAGAGCTCGAGACCATCCTGGCCAACATGGCGAAACCTGTCTCTACCAAAAATACAAAATTTAGCCAGGCATGGTGGCGCGCACCTGTAATCCCAGCTACTCGGGAGGCTGAGGCAGGGAGACTCACTTGAACCTGGGAGGCAGAGGTTGCAGTGAGCGGAGATTGCGCCATTGCACTGCAGCCTGGGCGACACAGCAAGACTCTGTCTCAAAAAAAAGTAAATAAATAAACAAAGATCTCAAGAATCTCAGTTTGCTTGAAAAAGCCCAAAGGCCATTTCCTCTTATCCCCTTACTGCAAGGGGATAAGAGTGTGCATCCTCTTCAGGGCCTGGGGAGCCCGTAGGGACCCATTTAATAGCTAGGGATCTAAGGTGGGCTTCTGTGTGGGGCAGCAACCCCACTAATAGACCTAGCTGGGGGCAGAATGTGTTGACCTGTGCTTTGAGTGGGATGTCACTTGCAACGAAGTGAAACTTAGCATTTTGCTTTTCTGTTGGCAGTTTCTTCTTGTTTGTGATCAAAGTGGAACCCCTGGGACACTTCCCATAGCTTCATTCTTTACAGTCCTTGCCTGTGGGAACTGCGATGTTCCTGCTGCATCCCAGCGTCCCTCTTCCTTCCATTCGTTTCTTTTCCTCCCTCACCTGCCCCTTCTGGAAAGTGTGTGGTATTGAGGCCCATGGCAAGGGCCACAAGCCAACATGCATTTATTTTCTCATTAGTGGATAGCAGCTGTTTGTCTGCAGTTAGATAGCTCTACAGAGTTGGGCAGAGGGAGGAGGGAAGGAGGGGAGTCTAGCTTGGGCATGCTCAGTAGGAATCTCCTCAGACTTGACCTCTGAATAAAGGAACCCCGCCTCTTAGTGACATCACAGCTTGGCCCTTGCTGTAGCAGTGACTTCTTCAGACTGCCTAAGCCACGGAGCAGCTGGCAGTTGTAGCTCTGAACCTCCTTGGAGGCTGCTGTGTTTGTATTATGGTTAGAACCCCACTCTGGCCAGGAGCCAACAGGAGTAAGGCTTGGCCCAAGGCTGCTCCCTCCTCTCACCCACGCTTTGGCCCTGGTTAGTTCCGAACCTCTGCACTCCCAGAGATACAGTTCCAGGCTCCCAACCAGGGGCTCATTTGTTTATCCAACAAAGGTTAACTAAGTAGTTGATGATGGAGGAAGAAACAAAGGGGACCTAAGTAAAGGTCCCTGTGGAAGGGGAGGACTAGGTAAGGGGCGACGGGGGTAATGGGAGGCTGTCACGGGAGATCTTGACTCCTGCCCAGATACCCTCCACCCAGGTCCAAACCTTGGAGCATGGGCCTCAGGCCTGCACAGCCTTACTAGCCTCTCCCAGGCTGGGGCAGGATGGCTGCCTTTTCTGTTTTCCCTCCCTCCAGCTCTGCATTTCCAAGCTGCTGTCCTTGAAGGGCAGAGCAGCTTTGGGATGTTCATCCAGGTATTTGTCCTGGGCCAGTGGTGACTGTTGTTTCCCTTAGCCGAACCATTCTTGGAGGGCTTGGCCTCCTCCCATGTGCCATGCACACATGCACTCTCTCTTACACACTTCCACATTTATCTTCACACCATTGGATTCCCAGGAAAATCTGAGACAAACAAGCATCCAGAGCACCTCGATATGACAAAGACGCCACTAGAGAGTGCTGTCCTGAGAGTCTTGGGGCTCCTAGATCTAAATAACACTCTGACCACCTTAGTAAGGGGATGAACTCTTTGCTTCCCCAATCCCTTCTCTAAAACCCCAAAGGAGTCAGAATATGGAAACCATTTTAAGTAGTTAAAAAATGAGACCTTGGGAGGCCGAGGCGGGTGGATCACGAGGTCAAGAGATCGAGACCATCCTGGTCAACATGGTGAAACCCCGTCTCTACTAAAAATACGAAAACATTAGCTGGGCATGGTGGC